ATATTTAATACTAAACTATATAATAAAGCTCTCTACTTAAAGTAGTACTTTAACTACTATAGTATTAAGTATATAGCTAAATACTATAAAGTAATACTAAAGTATAGCTAGTATACTACTAAGCGCTATATAAATAGAAAATAATTATATTTTATAATTATAAGTAATATTAAAAAAAAGTATACTTTATATAATAAAGTATACTTAGCTTAAAACTAAGCTTACTTTATTTTAAAGAAGTACTAAAATAAAGCTAAAAAAGAATACTTAGAATACTTAATAAAGTTTATAAACTATTAATATTTAAACTACTACTACTAGTAAATTATAATTAACTTTAACTTAAAGTTAGGCAGAGAATAGCCTGCCTGGAAGAGAGGCTATCTACTAGAGAGTAGAAATAGAACTAAGAATATAATACCTTTAGCTTAACAACTAGCTAGTATTCTACTATATATAAGCTGCCTTTTATTACTAAGAGATGCTATAATGCTAAGAATTAATATTATCCCTCTCTTCTAGAATGCTTAAGATACTATACTAAAATATTAATAAAAAGAATAACTTTATTTATATAGCGCTTTACTACTAGCTTAATATTAACTTAATAGTAATATAAAAATAAAATAAATAAAATAAAGCTAGCCTCTTAGCTTAGAGCTTAATAGCTATAAGCTAGTATACTACTAAGGCAGAAATATAGTATATATTTATACTTTATATAAGTCTAGCTTATAGTTAGTTAAGAATAGTAGTAAAGACTAAGCTAATATAAAAATTAAGAGAATTAAAGTTATATTACTATACTTAAAGCTTTATAAAAGCAAGAAGTAAAATATATCTCTATATAATATAGAGGTAAGAAAGGCTTAAAATAAATATATATTAGTTAAAGACTTTAACCTTAAGTACTTACTTTAAAATAAGCTAGAGAGAACTTATATAGCTATATACTACCTAAACTTATGTAGCTCCTAGCTCTACTCTGCAACAGAGAACTTAATACAGCCGACCTAGCTGTACGCCTAGAGGAGAAGGCAGACATTCTTACTGCAAGATTCTTCCTAGAGCTAACTGCTAATATTAGTAATATATTAGACTTAGCCTTTTGCTAGCTTAATAGCATGCTTATACTAGTAGACTAATAGTTTATAAATATTAATATATATAAAGCTCTTATAAAAATAGCAAGCTAGAAAGCCTCTAGAAATAATTAAATACTAGCTAGCTTTCTAAAAGCTTATAAAGCTCTTTTTATAAATATTCTTACCTACCTACTAACTAGAGTAGCTAAATATACTTATTTTCTAGCTTAGTTTTAAACTACTAAAGTAGTTATTCTCTATAAGCTTAAGAAAATATCTATAGACTTAAAGTAGACTAGAAAGTAGCACTCTATATTACTACTTAATATTATAAGTAAAGTATTAAAAGCTATAATAGCAGCTTAAATTATAGCTATTACTAAGGCAGAAGGTATACTTCTAAATATATAAATAAGTAATAAAGTTAATAAGTTAATAAAGATTATACTAAGAGTAGTTACTAAAGGAGTAAAGACAGCTTAAAGCTAGTATAGTATTACTTTACTTTTATAGCTAGATATTAGTAAATATTTAATATAGTTAGCTACTTAAAGCTGCTTGCTATATTACTTAAGGCAGAAGTACTAGAATAGCTTATAGCTTATATTTAAGCTGTTATTAACTTAAGAATAAGCTAGCTTTACTTTAATAGATAAATATTAAGAGTATACTAAATTCTAGCTAAATTACTATAAAGCTTACTTTTATTACTTATTCTCTTTCTTCTATATATTATACTACTATATACTTAGCTTTAAGTAGCTAATATAATTATAGTAGTAAGCTTTACTAATAATATAAATATTTTAGTATTTAAAAGAAATATAAAGTAAACTTAAAGGCAGCTTAAGAGCGCTTAAAATATTTATATAGTTTAAGTAAAAGAAGTAGAAGTTAAATTTAACTTAGCAAAAAGTAAGCTACTATACTTTAGCTAGGCTAGAGAGCTATATTAAACCTAGATATAGCTAGGCGCTAATAAAATTACACTAAAGAAGAGCTATAAGTTTCTAATTTAAATTAATAAAAAGCTAAAGTAGAACTATTATAAAGCCTAAATAGAGAAGAAATTAGCTATATAGTAGCTTGCTTTTACTATACTCTTAGCCTTAGCTTAAAGTAGTATATACTTTAGTAAAAGAGCTCTTTATATAGTAGTAGTTTAAAGTATTA